ATGGATGGCTAGCCCTTGCTGGTGCCGGTGTCTCTCAGCTATCTGTAGACTTCAATTTCTTTAAAAAAAAAAAAATTTGTTAAGACTATGCAGAATACACAAATTAGAATTATTAAATAAAAATGGATTCAACTTAATAATGTTATACTCACATTTATCGATTTAGTTTTTCAGTAATCAAGATATTACTCTCCATCTTTCTTGTGATTATCAAAAAAAATTTATACATAGAAATAATTTATTATTCAGTTCTAGTAGTACTAAATAAAAAGGTTAAAATAATTGTAAATTAAGCTCCTCAATCCTTCATTCCAAGAGGAAAACGATATCAAAGCAAAGGGCACAGCAACCCATAAGCAGTTGGGCCTTAGGGAAATTCTGTAGTGCACAATTGAGAACCCAACAAAATGCAAAAAATTTCGGTACGGACATGTTTATGACTACCATTAATCTTATTAGAGTCATCAAAATTGTGAAAGTTTTATTTTAATTTGATTATTAAAAGTAATTAATAACTAATAAAATAATTAATATTTATTATTTAATAAATTAAAATAAGTTATAAATAAATAATTTTTAAATATTATAATTAATTATTTAAAAAATTATAAATTAATAAAATTACATATAAAATTAATAATTTTAATAAAAATTAATGATGACCTTGATCTCAGCCTTTTAGGACAGATCCTGTAATAAAACAGTACTGCTTGAACATATGTTACCAAACGTCGACACCAAAACAGTAGATAAGTGTTTTTGAATTTAAAGAGAATAAAGAAAGAAGAAAAAATTGGCATTCTAACATACGTGAATATTAGTGTCTATGTGTGTGGGACAGAGATTAGGAATCTATGCACATAGATGTCGTATGTGGTCGGACACATTTTTTTAAAAAGAAAAAAAAAATTAAAACTCATTCTCTAACATTAATCAATCTCTGAGAATTTAGGGTTTTTTTTTTTATGTTTGAAAACTTACACATGGAAGACCGGGGGGGAGGGGGGAGGGGAGGGATTTTTCGAGGGAAAAAGGTGCAGATCACCCCCTCAACTCAACAACTGGTGGCAAATCACCCCCTCAACTCACTTCACTCGCAAATCACCCCCTCAACTCACCTGCAGTGGCAAATCACCCCTTCTGTTAAGGCTTCTGTTAACATTTAACAGTATGCTCATAAGCCCTTCGGCCCCTTCCTCTGTGTCTGACGTATTTGCTGAGATGGATGCTGAGGTGGAGGCACACCTGGACAAAGACCTCAAAAATCAACAGATTAAACAAAATTACTTTTATACCCTTAATGGTTTAAGGAAATAAAATTGGGGATTTAGGGATTTAGCAATCTGGGGTTATATCATTTCACTTGACAGCTTCTATCATCTTCGTCTTCTTCCCCTCTTCGTCCTTTCAAGATCTGCAATTCATCGAGCATAGGGGTTCTTTGTCAAGCTTTTGAGGATACTTAGGGTTTTATTTCGTTTGCCAGCTTCTA